CAGCTCGGGGCTGGCTCCCGCATGGAGCAGAGCTGGGGGATGGCCAGCGAGCCTGCAGCACTCCCTGCTGCCGCAGCTCCGGCGTGGGAGCGGGCTCCGGGCCCTTCATCCCTTGAGAAGGCGCTTGGCCCCCACGGGGTCTGCTGGTGGCTCAGCCAGCCCTGCGCCCTTGGGAGTGCTGTGGGTGTCACTGGGGCTCAAAGGGTGACACCGAGCCCCAAGAGGTGACACTGAGCCCTGGGTGGTGACACTGAGCCCCAAGAGGTGACACTGAGCCCTGGGTGGTTACACTGAACCCCGAGTGGTGACCCTGAGCCCTGGGTGGTGACACTGAGCCCCGGGTGGTGACACCGAGCCCCGGGTGGTGACACTGAGCCCTCCCTGCCATCCCTGCAGCCCCCGGAGCAGGAGACAGTGCACGTGTTCATCCCCGCCCAGGCGGTCGGGGCCATCATCGGCAAGAAGGGCCAGCACATCAAGCAGCTCTCCCGGTTCGCAAGTGCCTCCATCAAGGTAGGGCTGCCCTGGGGGGGACCCGCCCTCCGCCACCACCTCCCCAAGAGAGGGAGCGTTTCTCCCCCAAACTCACCCAAACCCCCTCGGCGGGGCCGGGCCGGCGCTGCGATGTCACCCCGTGTCTGTCCCTCCCCAGATCGCCCCTCCGGAGACGCCGGACTCCAAAGTGCGCATGGTCGTCATCACGGGCCCTCCAGAAGCCCAGTTCAAGGTCCTCCCCATGCTGCCAACACCCTGGGGGATGTGGGGGGTCCCTCTGTGCCGCCCTGGGCAGCTGGGAAGGGAGGAGCAGGGTGGTGACCCCGATGTCGAGCCCCCCCGGTGTGCAGCCGGGTAAACCCGGGATCAGCTCTCCCGGGGGCTGAGCTGGCTGGAAGCTCCAGGGAACTGGGATTCTGTGGGATCCCAGCCCGGGTCCCGGGGATGGAGCTCGCTGAGCTGGGGGGGACAGGCAGGGGTGGGACATTTTTGGGTGGTGCCTGACTCGGTGCTCCACCCCTTCCCCAGGCACAGGGCAGGATTTACGGGAAGCTGAAAGAGGAGAACTTCTTCGGGCCGAAGGAGGAGGTGAAGCTGGAGACGCACATCCGCGTGCCCGCCTCGGCCGCGGGAAGGGTCATCGGCAAAGGCGGCAAGACCGTGAGCTGGGCTGGGGCACGGGATTCCTGGGGGCATGGCTGGGATCTCACGGAAGGGCTCACCCCTTTTTCTTTTACCCCTTCCCCGCAGGTCAACGAGCTGCAGAACCTGACGGCAGCCGAGGTGGTGGTGCCGCGGGACCAGACCCCTGACGAGAACGAGCAGGTCATCGTGAAGATCATCGGGCACTTCTACGCCAGCCAGGTACGGCCCCA